AAAAAACCACCTCTCTCTTGATGCCCTCCTTCGCTCATCTCCATCCCTCCTTGCCTCATTTGTTCCAGGCAGTCACACCTGCCTCCAACGCACTGGTGCTTAAACGCACCCAGCTCATTCCCTCCCCAAGGCCTTTGTCCCTTCCGTGTCTTCCACCGGAAATTTCTTCTCCTAGCTTTACTCGTGGGTAGGCTTCTCCTCCTTCCAGCATTGCCCCCCCTAAGAGGCCCTCTTTGACCACCCCCACCCCACCATTTCCCTCTGTTCATCTCTTTCAAGGCACTTACCACGACCAGAATTTTTTTTGTTTTGTTTTGTTTTGTTTTGAGACAGGGTGTCACTCTGTTGTCCAGGCTGGAGTGCAGTGGCACAATAATGGCTCACTGCAGCCTTGACCTCCTGGGCTCAAGCAATCCTCCTGCCTCAACCTCCCTAGTAGCTGAAACCACAGGTGCATGTCACCACACCGGCTAATGCTTCTATTATTGTAGAGACAGGGTCTCACTATGTTGCCCAGACTGGTTTGAACAGGAGGTGGAGGTTGTAGCTGTCTCTTATACACATCTAGATGTGTATAAGAGACAGCGCCATTCTCCTGGCTCAGCCTCCTGAGTAGCTGGAATTACAGGCGCCCGCCACCTCACCCGGCTAATTTTTCTATTTTTAGTAGAGTCAGGTTTCACTGTGTTAGCCAGGATGATCTCGATCTCCTGACCTTGTGATCCGCCCACCTTGGCCTCCCAAAGTGCTGGGATTCCAGGCGTGACCCACCGCACCAGGCACTTTTTTGTATTTTTAGTAGAGACGGGGTTTCACCGTGTTAGCCAGGATGGTCTGGATCTCCTGACCTCGTGTGATCCGCCCACCTCGGCCTCCCAAAGTGCTGGGATTACAAGTGTGAGCCACCGCGCCCAGTCTATTTTTATCTTTTTAGACAGAGTCTCGCTCTCCCAGGCTCCAGAATCCAGCCACTCCCAGGCTGGAGTGCAGTGGTGCGATCTCGACTCACTGCAACCTTTGCCTCCTGGGTTCAAGCGATTCTCCTGCCTCAGCCTCCTGAGTAGCTGGAATTACAGGGGCCCACCACCACGCCCGGCTAATTTTTTGTATTTTTAGCAGAGACGGGGTTTCACCGTGCTGGCCAGGCTGGTCTCAAACTCCTGACCTCAAGTGATACACCCACCTCAGCCTCCCAAAGTGCTGGGATTAAGGCGTGAACCACCGTGCCCAGCCATTTTTAATTTTTTAATTGTAGAGGTGGGGGTCTTGCTATGTTGCCCAGGCTCATCTAGAACTCAAGTGGTCCTCCCTACTCAGCCTTCCAAAATGCTGGGGTTACAGGTGTGAGGCACCACACACAGCCAAGTCTTCCCTATTGTCTTAACCATTTTAAAGAGATGAAATAGATCAACTGAAAAATAATAATCCTGCATTTTCTGGGGGGGAGGGGGGAAGAGAGCAGGCATCTTCCAAGACCAGCAATGTTCAGAATTTTGTTGTTTCTATTACTGTACAAATAAGAAAACTGAGGCACACAGGCCAGACACAGTGGCTCACACCTGTAATCCAAGCACTTTGGGAAGATGGGGCAAGTGGATCACTTGAGGTCAGGAGTTCGAGACCAGCCTGTCCAATATGGTGAAACCCTGTCTCTACTAAAAATAAAAAATTAGCCAGGTGTGGTGGCGCGTGCCTATAATCCCAGCTACTCGGGAGGCTGAGGCAGGAGAATCGCTTGAACCCAGGAGGCGGAGATTGCAGTGAGCCGAGATCGCACCGCTACACACCAGCCTGGGGGACAGAGACTCTGTCTCCTCACTGGAAAAAAAGAAAGAAAAGAAAAAGAAAAAAAGAAAGAAAAGAAAAGACAAGAAAACTGAAGCACAGAGAAAGGACCTTAAACTTGCCCAAGGTCACAGGAGGCCGAGCAGAGCCCAGGTCTTCTCAAGGGGCCTGACATGCAGGACTCGGGGTGTCTCATCCAAAACACTGTCTCCCCAACATGGTGGTCCCCTCTGGGTGAGCAGAAGCTGGGGGAGCCGGAATAGAGCAGGATTTATTTGTTCAGCGGATGCTTGGCCCCAGCTTCCTGCCTAGGGGGTCTTATAGCTTTGTTTTATAGGAGGGAATCTGAAGCTGAGAGACGGAAGGATGACCTGAGGCAGGAGAGAACCTGGGCTGGAACTCCGGTCTTACTTGACCACAGAGCAGCTCCCTCCCCATTTCTACCAAATTAGGGGACTCTCTGGGGCTACGAGAGTAGGGACAGAGATCTCTCTCTCTCTCTCTCTGAGTCTCTCTCGGCCTTCATCTCTCAGTTTCCTTCTGTCTGTCTGTCTCTCTCCACATCTTTCTTTTTATTGAAACGGAATCGCTCTGTCGCCCAGGCTGGAGTGCAATGCTATGATCTCAGCTCACTGCAACCTCCACCTCCCAGTTTCAAGCAATTCTCCTGCCTCAGCCTCCTGAGTAGCTGGGATTACAGGCATGTGCCAGCACACCAGGCTCATTTTTGTATTTTTAGTAGAGACGGTTTCGCCATGTTGGCCAGGCTGGTCTCAAACTCCTGACCTCAAGTGATCCTCCTGCCTTGGCCTCCCAAAGTGCTGGGATTACAGACGTGAGCCACTGAACCTGGCCACTCTCCACATCTTTCTAGCAGTTATGAGGTGCACATGACAGGGGCCGGTGTGGGGGAGGTGGCCTAGCCCCAGTGATGTTGGTCCCCTCTCCACAGCCTCGCTCCCCCAAGCTGGCCTTGTCCTCTGACCACTGGGAGAGCAGCCTGTTCCTTCCCCACCCACAGAGAGCCTGTAATCAGCTCCCCCAGGCTGCAGCCAAGGCCAGCAGCTGGGCCTGGGAGTGAGGGGGCTCTGTCCTCAAGGGCTCCAGCCAAGCCCTACCCAGTGGTCCTCCTCCACCAGCCTGCCCTGGGGCCCCCACAGTGGCTCCCTGAGAGGTCTCTGGCCCACAGCCCTAACCACATGCCTCCCAGCTCACACACCCTCTGAGGCTCCCCATCGCCCCAAGTCCAGCACAAACCATCGTTTCCACTGAATTCCTTTATTCAGTCAACAAACACTCCCAGAGCCCCCTCTGCGTTGAGGCCTCTAGGAACCCTGAGGTCAGGGGAGACAGCTGGACACAGATACTTCCCCAACCCCAGGGTCACCGTGGGGCTGCAGGGAAGGACAGGGGTGCAAGAGTGGTGGGGGTATATGAGGGAAGGCTGCAAGGATGTGGTAGCTAGAGTTTAGAGAGATGGATAGGAGTTTTCCAAGGAGCAAAAGTGGCAGAAAAGCTTTGCAGGGAGGTGAGGAGGAGCAGCAGGAGCTTAACCTGCAAGAGAATCCCTCTCACCGGTCAGAAAGTTGACCCTGCACAGCCAAGGGGTAAGCTCTGCCCATTTTGCAGGTGACAGAACTGAGACCCAGAGAGGGAAAGGAACTTGCCCACCGTCACACAGCGTAGAAGGGGCAAAACCGTAGGCTCCAATACCTGGACTCTTAACCTCCTTACTCTAAGCCTTCTCACACTTGGCATGCTGTTCCCTCTGCCAGGAATGCCTTTCCTTCCCTTGACTGCGTGAAAAGTTCCTGCCAGGTTTGGTGTCATCCCTTTGTGCCCCTTGTAGGGTGAGGACAGAAGGGGTCCCATTGGACAGGTGGGAAAACTGAAGCCCTGGGATGCTCAGGTACCATTAGGGTGGACTGGGACCCCAGCCCCTCCTGCCCCCTTACAGGATACCAAAGACATATACGGGCTACCCCAAAAGACAGAGTCCCAGCCAGGGCAACAGCTCTTGTCCTTGGCTTCCTCCAGAGAAACAAGAGATCGGGCAGCAGAAGTCAGATCATACATTTAAAGCTACATGAATGTCCCCATTGAAAATAAGACAGGAAACTCAAAACTGGGTGCCTGTAGTCCCAGCTATCTGGGAGGCTGAGGCAGAAGGATCACTGTAGCCCAGGAGTTCAAGACCAGCCTGGGCAACATAGCCAGATCCTGTCTCTTAAAATTAATAATTATAAATTAAAAAAATAAAAGCCCGAGTGTGGTGGCTCACGCCTATTATTCCAACACTTTGGGAGGCTGAGGTGGGAGGATCACTTGAGGTCAGGAGTTTGAGATCAGCCTGGCCGTCATGGTGAAACCTCATCTCTACTGAAAATAAAAAAAATTAGCTGGGTATGGTGGTGCACACCTGTAATCCCAGCTACTTAGGAGGCTGAGGCAGGAGAATCGCTTGAACCTGGGAAGCAGAGGTTGCACCGAGCCGAGATCGCACCACTGCACTCCACCCTGGGTAACAGAGCGAGGCTCTGTCTCAAAAATAAAAATAAGAATAAAAAGAGAGAGAGAGAGAAAAGGAAACTCAGGGGGCCAGGGCTTGAGGGGATAGGAAGATGGGAGGGTCTTAAATTTGGTTCCTTGCTTCTTTGGGTCAGGGCTCAGAGAGCGTCACTGACACATCTGCCAATCTGTCTTGAATCTTAACAAATTGCAAAGGCCACAGGCTATTCCACAAGCCACGGAAGCCCCCCAAATGCAATGTCATGGGGGTGTTCCTGAAGTAGAGGACCCTTATAAAGCCTCTGAGGCCCAGAGAGGGGCAGCTCCTTGTCTAAGGTCACACAGCCAATCAACAGAGACCTAATCCAGAGGTCTGCCGGCAGGAGCTATAAAAAGGACAGGGAGTGTGGTTTGCCCTCTGGGTGAGCAGTGAAGGCGTGAGTCTCACACCCCCGGCTTCCGCTCCATAGCATGTCCAGCTGGGGGCCCAGGGTGCTGAATGATGGCCGGTCCTGTGGGCTAGGGGCCCAGCACAGCTTCATGAGCTCGTGAACCTGAGGGGCAGGGGACAGAGAATGGGGTCATGCCTGAACAATCAGAAGGACACGACTCCCATTCAGTGTATTTGTTTTTGTTTTTTTGAGACGGAGTCTAGCTCTGTTGTCCAGTCTGGAGTGCAATGGCATGATCTTGGCTCACTGCCACCTCCACCTCCCGGGTTCAAGCAATTATCCTGCCTCAGCTCCCCAAGTAGCTGGGATTACAGGTGCGTGCCACCACACGCCCCGCTAGTTTTGTATTTTTAGTAGAGACGGGGTTTCACCATGTTGGCCAGGTTGGTCTCAAACTCCTGACCTCAGGTGATCCACCTGTCTCAGCCTCTCAAAGTGCTTGGATTATAGGCATGAGCCACCACACCCAGCCCCATTCAGTTTTAAAACACAAATTAAAATCCATCCCATCTCTGCTCCAAAACCTCCTATGGCTCCCTAGGGATCTTATTTATTTATTTATTTATTTATTTATTTGAGACAAAGTTTCACTCTTGTTGCCCAGGCCGGAATGCAGTGGTGCGATCTCGATCTTGGCTTACTGCAACCTCTGCCTCCTGGGTTCAAGTGATTCTCCTGCCTCAGCCTCCCAAGTAGCTGGGATTACATGCACACACCACCATACCTGGCTAAGTTTGTATTTTTAGTAGAGACGGGGTTTCATCATGTTGGTCAGGCTGGTCTTGAACTCCTGACCTCATGTGATCCACTCGCCTCGGCCTCCCAAAGTGCTGGGATTACAGGCATGAGCCACCGCACCCAGCCCCTATGGATCTTAGAACACACTTCTTTCAAGACCACCCTGACCAACATGGAGAAACCCCATCTTAACTAAAAAGAAAAAGAAAAAAAATTAGGCCGGGTGCGGTGGCTCACGCCTGTAATCCCAGCACTTTGGGAGGCCGAGGCGGGCAGATCATGAGGTCAGGAGATTGAGACCATCCCGGCTAACACGGTGAAACCCCGTCTCTACTAAAAATACAAAAAATTAGCCAGGTGTGGTGGCAGGCGCCTGTAGTCCCAGCTACTTGGGAGGCTGAGGCAGGAGAATGGCATGAACTCGGGAGGCGGAGTTTGCAG